TAGAATTTTTTAAAATAAAAATGCTTAAAATGGGATTAAAAGACGATGCATGACTGAGCCTCTTCTGTACTTAGCCCCTATGTCCTAAAAATGTGCATTCATTCTCATTTATTTCCCCAGTGGTAGCCACGTTAGTGTGTGACATGAAAAACGCTGATAGTCTTAAGGCATTAATGTTTTAAAGATGAGTATGTTTAATTTGCATATGTTTTCGTGCATCAGATGAGATGGGCTGTATTCTGCAAAAGCTTATGCCAGATAAAATCAATTAGCCTTCGAAGTGCTATAAGACTCATGGTTCTTACTCTTCAGTAATGTTGTTCACAAGGCCTGTATTTATTTTGCCGTTTATTTTCCAATCATTATCCAGTGAACTCGGATAGTAACTGCAGGTAGCTGTGCAGCCAAAATGGAATCACTGAGAATGCTTTCATGCTCAAGGAAATCCCAAAAATATGTTTTTAAAAAGTTGTCCGGAAAACTAGCTTCTAACAGTCCAGTGAGTGTGCTTAGTGCTCACAGAATGTTCATTGTGTTTTGGGGTGTATTGGAAGAACAGATGAGGAAGGAAGCAAGAATGAGCTGGACTGTATCTTCTAAAATAACACATCTTGTATTCTCGAAGGCTTTCACGGCCAGGATCCTATGGTTGTTGTAGGTTTTTTGGGCTGTTTAGACATGTTCTGGAGGTTTTTCTTCCTAATGTTTCTTCCTAACACAGACAGAGATCTAACTCCTGTCCTCTGAAGATGCCGGCCACAGAAACTGGTGAAAGTTAGGAAGAAAAACCTCCAGAACATGGCCAAACAGCCCGAAACCTACAACAACTGTAACACATCTTGTTAGATGGAATCTTTTTCTAAAGATGTCAAAACAACCTTCCTAGTTTTCCTAGTCTTCATTTTATCCTCAGACTCTTGAAATGAATGACAGCAATGCCCTACCATCACCCTTTCAGCTTCTTGGCTGAGTGTGAATTTGAATCTTGTGCTTTTTTATTTGGTGCACTATTTTTGTAGAAATTTAAATGAAACTAGGAAATCAAAGGGAGCAATTGATTTTACACCATCCTGTTCTCAAAGGAAGCTTCCGACTAGTGCTGTAGCAGGAAGAGGACACTTGAGCAGAGTTTGGCCTAGTTAAGCTTCAAAGCCTTCCAATTCAGGCTTTTCTTCCAGAAGTATTACATACATTTGCAAGGTACCTGTAAGATAGGTAGAATTTCACGAATGGAGAATTATGGTATTTTTAGTTCTGAAAATCTGTTAATTTGTTATCTTCACTAGAAACCTTACTCAGGCCAGGGGGCTTGCTTACTCGAAATTGCACACAAGATTGTATCCGTAAGTTGGCTTGTCCAGTTGTTATAAGTCTGTTTTGCTTTTCATTTGTAGAACTAGCCATAAGCACTGCAGATGCTGAGGCTTATTTACTCAGGTCATGTCTATATAGCTAGCAGTAGCTTCTAGTTTTCCCTGCAAAAGACCCTGATGTTAGGAAAGTGTGAAGGCAAGAGGAGAAGGGGACAACAGAGGATGAGATGGTTGGACAGTGTCATCGAAGCTATCAACATGAATTTGACCCAAGAGGCAGTGGAAGACAGAAGGGCCTAGCGTGCTCTGGTCCATGGGGTCACGAAGAGTCAGACACGACTAAACTACTAAACAACAACAAAAGCTTCTAGTTACCAAGATATTTCTAGGAAGGCATACTGGTTGCATTAAAAACCTATTGCATAAAGAGTTGAATCACTGCTGTCATATCAGTATCTTCACCAACATTACATATTCCAGACATTTGCTTTCCAGTTTCTCATGCTTTTTATTATGTCTTCTAGGAAAAGTGGCAACTCGCAGACTGTAGAACAGTAGAACAATATTCACACTGTTAATAATACTTTCTATGATAATTCTTCAAACCAGTGATAAAAAGGGCAAAATTACTTCAAAGTTATGTCACAATTGTATATAGAGGTTTTATACTGAGGCTCCCAGATGGTTAATTAACATTATCCACTTACCATCTCATTATCCTTGCTTGTTGACTTGCCTAAACGAAACAGATCCTCATTTGATTCACAGCACTCTATTATGCTAAATAGCTTTGCAAAGTAGAGTCAATGATGATTTTTGAAGTATTGCTTGATAAGGGCTCTGTTCTTATTGCATGTTAAACCATTTCAGACTCTTTCCTAGACTAAATTTCCATATTATTTAGAAACAGTACTTCTCAAGCATGGCACGATACATTTATTAATGTATACTGGAGATGCAAGGGAGGCAGAAGTGTTGAGATGTCTTCCC